TAGAGCTAATTATTTTCATCACCTTTGAGCATTGATGACTTTTTGCTCTGTCCACAGTGCCCCCTGGCCCAACCCTTCACCTCTCTGTCTATACCTCCTGCACTACCTGAACTCTCCCTCTGTAATGAGGACAGGCACCCATGCTGGTCTAGTTCACCCATGTACCTCCATGTGCAACAAATATTAGGTCCCTATCAAATGTTTGTTGAATGAAAGTGTGTGTGTGTGTTCTTGTGAGAGAGTGACTGATTGATTGATTTCTCTGATCTTCTAGGCCAAAGTGACCCCTTCTAACTCCTGCCTTCCACCTTATTGTGCTTATACCTCTTACATCAATATGTATTTTGGCATTAAGTTATAGTTCTTCCTGTACACTTCATGATGTACTCCCAGGGAGAACGTCAGTTCCTTGAGGGTAAACACTATGGCACATATATCCTTCTATCTGCAGGGCTCCTAACACACCACCATATTAGGCGCTCAATTAATGTTTGTTTGAAATTTCAAGTCTCCCACTTCAAGTTATTTGGCAACAATCTACAGCAGCTCATTTTCTGCTTTCTAGGTTATAAACGAATGGATGTAAAATAGAGTTAGACCTATATGGTTTTCACTAAGTATATCAATATAAAACTTCTAAGAAAAAAATGGATTTGGAAAAAGAAATGTATAAGAATGATTCAGTTAAATGAGCTTTACAGTCCCATCCAGCGCTGAAGTTCATGGTTCTGGGTGTATGGGTAGGTAGTCTCCTGTATCATGTCCATGTGCTCTTCTGCTGTCTCCTCCCTGGAAAATGGGCCAGTACGTGCGCACACACACACACACTCTCCACCTAGAAAGGTCTGACAACACTGAGGCGCCATGTCCACCTCACACATGACATCACTTGAAGATCCAGTCAAGTGTTTTAAATTCTAGTCTATTTTCTTTTTCTTATCTTTCATCCCTTGTTTTTAAGGGCTTATTTTAAGTGCAGTTACAATGTTTACTTTGGAACTGATGGAACTCCCTTCTTTTCGTTAACTAGGAGACTTCCCATGATTCCAGAACGAATAGATATAGTTTTAAAGAACAGATATTTAGATAAATGATTCCTCTATCTCTGGTACCCTACACAGTGCCTTCCACATAGTCAGCAACCAGTGGATGCTTGTTCAATGAATGAATAAAGAAATAAATGAATAAAGAAATTCTCCTTCCATTCCTTAGAAATACATGTCATCTTGTGAGGCCAAAGGGTGGATCTAAAATCATCTTGTCTCGAAAGGAACTCAGAAGTAGAAAGTAGAGCCCCTATCTTCTATGGATTTTATTTTTTAAGGATGAAAATTAGTTTATAAGTTACTTCCAGTAAATCAATCCTTTTTCTCCTCCTAAACTTACAATTATGAAGGGAACTATAATAGCATTTTACTGCAAAGAGATTCAGTAATTCTGGCAGTACTTCATTAATCACTTAATCAGTGTTCAAGCAGAACTGATGTCCTTGACATATATAATCAATCTTGATTCCTCCCACACTTGATCTTCATCCTTTTTTTTTTTTTTTTTTTTGCGGTACGCTGGCCTCTCACTGTTGTGGCTGCTCCCGCTGAGGAGCACAGGCTCCGGACGCGCAGACTCAGCGGCCACGGCTCACGGGCCCAGCCGCTCCGCGGCATGTGGGATCTTCCCGGACCGGGGCACGAACCTGTGTCCCCTGCATCGGCAGGCGGACTCTCAACCACTGCGCCACCAGGGAAGCCCAATCTTCATCCTTTTTGAAATCTGTCTACAGACACTAAGGACTGGTGGCTTATTTTCATATTATGTTTTTGTTAGAGATGACTCATATACACATATAATGATAATCTGAATATTGATACCTATATTGGGTTTCCTCATAGTCTATTTGAAAACAGTTGTTTTCTCTTCAGTGAATTTATGGAGATTAATGGTGCTAAGACCAGATTCTATTATAGCTTAATGGGAAAATGGGATTGGGCCGTTTTTTAGCTTAGTGTGACATATTATTCTTTTGGTGATGGCATGTTTATTGTTATTGGTAAGCCAGAGCTACTTGTTTATGATACATTCTGAGGAACTTTTCCAAAGCCACATCCTAAAGGCAGCTGGGCTTAGAAATATGATAGCACCCTAAAATTGAGCATCAGGGAGTTAAGTTTGTCAAATATCTTCTGCTTTGGAAAGGTGTTTTTATGACCAGTGGTAGAACTACAAAAGCTCTGATTCTACCACTCCTTTTCTCTTAACACTTAATAATTTGGACATTTTAAAACATTATTTATTCACCTCAAATTTTAGTGATTTATAATTTCCATGTCCATTTACTTACAGACCACTCATTTACCCATCCATACACTGCTGGTCAACATCAAGCATTTCTGTCTTTCTTGTAAGAGAGCTGCAGTATAGACTCTACAGGTTGACAGTGTGGAAGATGAATAGATGAAGACTCAATTCATAATCAAACATGTATTTGAACAAATGAGACAAAGATTTTGTCACCTGGTTATTTGAGGAATATTTTTCCTCCATGAAAGGTGATAGCATGGTATTTCTGGATTGTTTAAAACTAAAAAGTCTACACCTGCTATGGGCTGCAGAATCTAAAGTAAAAATGAGCTTTTGTGCTAATGCTACAAGTCTTTGGGGGTATGCTCAAATTAGTACTCTACAGGTGTTCAACCAGACCTACGGCTGGATCTGCAGACTAAGAATCAGGAAGCCAGAAAGACGGTAATGACAATAATAACAAAAATTCACATTTACTGAGGTCTTCCCGTGCCATGGTAGTGCATGTGGTGCTTTGCAAGCGTTATTTAATGGAATACCCTTAACATCCCTATGAGGTGAGTATCATACATATTCCTAGTTCAAAGAGGAAAGGCAAGGCTCACAGAGATCGAGAAATTTGCCCAAAGTTACAAGTCTGGTCTGTGGTGGATCTGTCTGATTCCAGAGCTCTCAACCACCAGCCAGGTAGTCTACCCACCTATCTTAGGTGTATGGACTGAGGCCCAGAGGGCTATGGTACAGCCAGTGAGTTGCAGAGCTGGATATATTTGAACATATATATTAGATAGAAGCTAAAGTACAGAACAATTATAGTAAAATAATTATCCTTTAGTGAAAAATTAATGGGACTCTGGGCTAGCTAGAAAGTTATTAGTAGATTACAACAGAAATTAAGGTTAACATTCTACCCAGGCATGAAAAGGTGAATAGGAGAGCTGGAGAGAAGGTTAATAATTATCAGAGTCCACACTGCATTGGCGAGAGGTAGATTTGATCTTGAATGACTATACTAATAACTACACAGACATGGGCTTCGTTAGGAAAACAAATTTCCTGATCTAAATGAAATCTCCCTAAAACAGTTCATTCTCTGCCCCCTGCCCCCACTCCTTTCTCTTTTGTTCTGATGTATGGTGATCAAAGCAATTCTCTGACAACTATTTCAACTCCTCAAATATAGGGTTATAAATAAGGTTATCAATTATTACATGAAGTATAGCTTCCATTAATACATTGACAATCTTTTTTCAACAGTGTCTTAAGCGATTTTGGTTATTGTAAATCAGCTCTTCTTGGCCTGAGCAACTTTAGAAAAACAGAAAGAACTTTTACCAAAATGAAACATTCCAGTGCATGAGGACGCTCATTCTGCAGTGTTCCCAATCTCTAGAAGGCTCTGCCTGTGTCCACTATGCCCCTGCCACCGCACACACCTGGCCCTAAATCACAGCCGTTTTAAGGGAACCTGATAATGTCCCTTTAGATTTTTGAAGAATGGACAGGAAGTAAGATGTGAGAGCAGAGCCTAGTGAATAGGAGAACAAAAGAGCTCTTGGACCTGACCAGACAGTCTGCGCTGAGTAACCCAGCAACCATGAGCCTAAGTAAGCTGCAGCTGCTGGCGTGTTTAATCAACATCAAACATTTCCTGAACTTCCACGATGTGCTCAGGACACTCTGAACTTGGACAAAAGAAATCAGACATGATTTCCACCTTCAAAAACCCTGTGGGAGGACATGTTCGTAACTGTTGTGTAATAGATGCCTTCCAGGCCAGCGACTTGAGGTAAAGTCAGGTAGTGGGCAGGTAGATACCACTAAGTCCTGGCTGGGCCCTGCCACAGCTTTTCCAAAGGAAACTCACCCAAATCTCTTCTTCTGGCTCCCAAAGATTAGAGGCTCAGGGGTAGATCACAAAATGCCTACTTCCTTCACATTCCCACGTGGCCTGTGTGGTTTCAATCCTGTCACAGTGCTCTTGCAACCTCTCATGTACCTAGGTGAGGGGCCTCACCTAGTGTCCTCGACATGTCTGCTGTTGCCCAACAAGGATGCTCCCAGGAAGAGTCCATCCCCATAGTATATGTCCCCATCCTTCCACACCTGATGGACCCAGCACAGAAAACAAATGTGGAGAAGCATTTTTTCTCACCAGCATTGCGTCTTATATCAAGACACAAAGCAGCCCTTGACTTCTATCCTTTAGGTTTTCTACTGAAATTTGATGGTGGAAATTTTCATTTCAGTGGCTCTTGATTCAGCTGCCATATTCCTAACATTCAGGCACTTGTCTGAAGAAAACCAAAGTGTCCCCATGCCTCTGGGCACCCAATGTCTCTCCCTTGCAGTGCTGAGTATTATCACCAATCCCCGCTCTCTCTTCAGTTGTGGCGAGCTCCTTTTCTACCAGTACCATTCTCGAGTGGATTCACAAGCATCCCTTGTTACTGGAGGGCCAATGCTGTCTTAGACCAGAGGTTTTCCATTAGCTCTAGTAAGTCCATGTATGCTTCCCAAGAAACTCCTTTGTTTTGTGCAAATCAAGCCCCTGTGGTGGACCCCACACATCAACTTCAGATCTGTTTGCGACAGCTGTCAGTGTGACACATCACAGCTCAGACATGCACATTGGGATCCTCCCGACACTGGTTAATTATATATGAAGATTCTATACCATATCTTCTATTTTGCTGTTTCAGATAAAGGGATCTTCATTATCCAAAGTGAGAACCTCGAGAAATGCATTCAAGCTGGCAAATCTACACTGACCCTGGAGAGTTGCAAACCACCCAACAAGTACATGCTGTGGAAGTGGGCTTCAAACCACCGCCTCTTTAACATCGGAGGCAGCGGCTGCCTGGGCCTGAATGTGTCTAATCCAGAGCAGCCACTGAGCATATACGAGTGTGATTCCACCCACATTTCCTTGAAGTGGCGCTGTAACAGGAAGATGATCACCGGCCCGCTCCAGTACATGGTCCAGGTGAAGCACGACAACACGCTTGTGGCCTCCTGGAAATACCTTCATAAGTGGGTTTCCTATATGTCAGGCGGTGGAGGCATCTGTGAATATCTGAACAAAGGTAAAAAAGGATTTCAACCAAAGTACGCATGAAATGACATGTTTAGCAAGTTTGCCCGTAAGTAAAGATTTGTAAAATATATGAAAGAGGTGCACAGCCCCTAGAACCTCCAGGCACTTCTGCTAAATACAATTTAGTTGCTTACTCGCTTATTGTAAAAGGATTACTGGAGTCTTGGAATGGGCTTGCTAAATTCTGCTAAAGAAACAGAACTGCGAATTTAAAGGTATTAGAGGAGAAAACACTTCAATAACTTTGGGAATCAATGGAAAGGAGAAAGAACAGGAGGACGAGGGAGAAAGAAAATAAAAATAGAAGGAAAAGATTTTTTGAAGTTAGACTTTCAGGATGAAAATAAGAGCCTCTCCCGTCAATATTTCTTTTATTGTAGAAACTTTGTCCCATGTGTGGAGTGTGTCTGCAGGGCACCTCAGTGCCTCCTAAGGCCTGGCTGGCATCCGTATGGTGGTCATGTTACAAGGCATTTATTTATTTAATTTATTTTTTAAAAGATTTTTGACGTGGACCATTTTTAAAGTCTTTATTGAATTTGTCACAATATTGCCCTTGTCTCATGTTTTGGTTTTTTGGCCCCGAGGCCTGTGGGAATCATAGCTCCCCGACCAGGGATCAAACCCACACCCCCTGCATTGGAAGGCGAAGTCTTAACCACTGGACCGCCAGGGAAGTCCCGTGTTACAAGGGATTTAAAGGCAGACTATTGTCAGGGGTTATTTGGTGTGTGCCGGGGAGTAGGAAAGCACGGTTTTGGTGGCGGGTAGGGGGAGGTGTTTTCATTTTCCATGGTTCTGTGATATTTGGTATTTTTAAACAGAGAAAGAAAGCACCTTAGTTCTGAAATTCTGAAACCTCAAACCTGTTTGTCAGGTTTTGTTTTGTAGCTCTCTTCATTCATTCATCCACCCATTCACCGTCCATCACGCATCCATTGAACACTGACCGTTTCTGTGCCCGGCATCTGATTTACAAAGGCCAACAAGACAGGTGTGGTCCCTGCCCTCATGGTGCTCTGTAGAATTATGGCTTACTAAGAGCTTCTATTTCTAAGAATTCTAGGAAACAGAGCAAGGAGCTACCAAGATCTAAAGTAAGACTTTCTCCCGTACCTGCGAGAAATGAGTAAAGAGAGACAGCCAAGGGCAAGCCATTTTCAGGACTCAATACAATAAAGCAAGTGCTGCACACGAGCACACTGAGTAATCTACAGTTCTAAGGAAGAACTTGGCATGTTGTTCCAGGTTAACATTTTAGCCATATGCCCACGCTCACGATGCATGCAGAGGAAGACTGAGTAGAAGGCAGAGGAAGGAAACAAGAGGATGTGTCCTGGTATACCAGTAGTTCCTAACAGCCTCAACCTCTAGGGCTGGTGGTGTGGAGTGAGCTCAGGCAACACCCGCCCCCCACCAGCTGTGGGAGAGGGTGGGAATCTCCACAGCCAGCCCCTTCGCTCCAGGACCTACTGGTTTAATTGAGGGTGGCCCTGATCTCCCTCACTATAGAAAGCCCCAGCTGAGTCATGAAAAGTTGTTGTTTTCTGCTTAAGGCCAAGGATGACTGATCATTGAAATACTCTGAGGGAGCAGCCAGCCGGCCACTCAGCAGGGCCATCTTTCTCCTAGACCACTGCAGGGGCCTCGAGCCGGGCATCCACTTTGCCCTCTCTCTGTGTACATTCTGTTTGCCACTGTGCACCCCGTGAGTCTTTAAAAATCGGATCATGTGACTTTCCCATTCAAAACTCACTGATGACTTCCCACCGCCTCCAGGGTAAAGGTCAAAGCCCATGATGTGGCAGAACCGGCCCTCTGTGAGCTGACGCTCCACTGCCTTCCTGGTTCTGCCTCGCCCGGGGCCTCCCTGCGCTTCCCCGTCCGCCCCGCACAGTTCTTGTTGCAGGTCCCTCGTGCTCCCCGGTACTTGCTGCTCCTTATGCCCCAAGAACTCTCTTCCAAAGACTTAAACCTCTTCCCCCAGTTCTTATTCAGAGAGGCCTGCCCTGACCACCTTATCAAAAATAGTGCCTCTAAAAAAAAAAAAAAAAAAAAAAAATAGTGCCTCTACCCCTTCAAACACACACACACACACACACACACACAGAGTCATTCTGTTCTTACAGTATTTTGTTTTTCTTCATGGTACTTATCACTACCTGAAATTACATGTTTACTTGTATATTTGCCTTCTCTTTTTTTCTCCCCACGAGAACAGAAGCTCCATATGAAAGCCAACTTTTACTCATTTGTTCACTATTACATCATATACCCAGTGCTGGACACATTAAATGCTCTACAGATGTCTGCTGAATGAATAAGTTAATAAATGCCTATGAACCTCGAGATTCAGATGCTGATGGCTGATGTATTTGGGGACTGGAAGATATTTTAAACTGAAATCTCCAACTACATACAATATCTTGAAATAACCAATAATGGAAAAGAATCTGAAGCTGTATACCTGAAACTAACACCATACTGTAAATCAACTATAGTTAAATAAAAATAATCATAAATAGATAAATTTTTTCTTCTCATCCATTCACAAATATGTATGCTACTGTAGCAGTGCACCATAGTGAATAAACAAGGAGATAAACATACAAACAAACCATTTATCAACATTTCCCCTGAACACAGCATTCAGCCTTGCACTTTTCCATACACTAGACACTGAAGTCCTGAGGGTTCTCTGTGGTAAAGCGAGGGCCTTGCCCAGTGTAGATTTTCAGTCAATAAAAAATGCATTCACTTTATGAAGTTTCCAAAGATAAAGCTGACATACTACTTAATTGATTTTGTCCTTTTCTTTCTCCTAGATTTGTATACAATCAAAGGGAATGCCCACGGGACACCGTGCATGTTTCCCTTCCAGTATAACCGGCAGTGGCATCATGAATGTACCCGGGAAGGGCGGGAAGACAACTTGCTGTGGTGTGCCACAACCAGCCGATACGAAAGAGATGAGAAGTGGGGATTTTGCCCAGATCCCAGTAAGAATAAAATCTAGTCTTCCCCATATGTCATGAAGGAATCAAGGATGAGTAGAAAGTTATTGTATCTAAAGGAAAGCACTGAGATTGATCTACTAAAATCTGAATAAGCTCTTTGATTCCATTTATCCAGGCTTTGATTTTGTTTGTTTTTGCCTTGAAAAGACGATTCTGATGTATATTCCTTTTTTCCCCTAAGTTCCAAAGATGTTAATTAGCCATTCCTCATTAAGTTCAGTACATAAGGATGCTTTAACCGGAATCAAATTATAATACTCTGTGATCTCATTAATCCCAGCTTCCAGGAAGGACACTTCAAAACAAACCTGAATGTGTATAAAGCTCAGTTATCCTTCCAATCCACTCCCTTTTATGAGCTGCCTTAACTTCTCCATGTCCTGACTGCTTGCTTTGCCCATTGTCACATCCAGGCATCAGCTGGCCCTTGATGATCTTTTTAAAATCACAGTCGCCCTTGTTATTTCTCGACAATGAGTTCTTGTCTTGATTCCCTTTCCTTGTTACTCGATTTCTAGCTATAACCTCAAAATCTTTTTCTCTACTTAACCCAATTTTCAAGGTCCAATGACAGCTGCAATGTTCTAATTTTTTTTGTCAGTTAGTACTTTATTATTTTATTGTATTTTCATTTAGCTTAAAGGTTTCCAGTGGTTCTTAAGTATTGGGGGTTATTTATATATACCTTCTACTTTCTATATTCAATTTCCTTCACCTTGGTTTCTGCAAGGCAGAGAATATAGCTTTTGCAATCTCTTCATCTTCCATGCCTACCTTCCCTCCGCATAGTTAACAAAATGCCACAAAGAAATTGAAACAAAAAGAAACTGAAGAGATTAACTCCAAAGAATCTGATTTATAAATTGCCTGTTGAATTGTTTTCTAATCTAAGAGCCAGTACAGCTTAGTGAATTAGAAAGAGTGTAGGTTTTGAAATCGGAAAGACCAAGGTTGGAGTCCTGCTTCTTCCCAACAGTGAGATCCTGAGTCTCAGCTTCCTCATTATAAAATGGAGATAATAACAGTACCTATTCGGGTTATTGAGAGGATACAATTAGATGATGCATCTAAGCCACTTATCACAGTACCTGGTACTCACCAGGATTACCATCATCATCGTCATAGCATCATCAGGCCTAATTTATCCTTTCAGCATGTGCTTCTGAATCAATGATCCTACGTCTTTATTATCTGTCAACAGCACTAAGCTAAGCATAGTGTTAGGACTTAGGACCCTCTCTTCCAAGAACTTGGCCTCTAGATGGAATACAGGACAGACAGATTTGCTCCATGCCTGGAAATGCAGACTATATTTGACATGATGCTCTAGAATCACCTGGGGGATAGTTTAAAACATATATCCTTGACCAGTCCCGGAGATGCAGTGAGCGTTTGCATTTTTTTTTTTTTTTTTTTGTGGTACGTGGGCCTCTCACTGTTGTGGCCTCTCCCGTTGCGGAGCACAGGCTCCGGACGCGCAGGCTCAGCGGCCATGGCTCACGGGCCCAACCGCTCCGCGGCATGTGGGATCTTCCCGGACCGGGGTATGAACCCGTGTCCCCTGCATCGGCAGGCGGACTCTCAACCACTGCGCCACCAGGGAAGCCCGAGCGTTTGCATTTTTGACAAGTGGCCCAGGTGATCCTGTGGCAGATAATTCTTCATCAGATAATTCATAATATGCAGGTAGTTCTACGCAACATACATCTATATACATGGGTGATATCAAGACATTTAGCAACCAATCTAGTATGAGCTCTTGGCCAATCCAAGTGGAGACCTTAATGTGGAGGTTAGGAGTCCCAGAGGCCCACTGCTGGTATTAACCCCTTATCTGCTGTAATGTGAGGGGATGCTGAGGCAGCAAGAGGCACTTGAGGAGCTCAGGACAGCAGCTCTTCACCAGCCAGCATGAAAGTATTTCATCATTTATTGACTGTCAGATCATCAGCCTTCTCTATCTGAATCTGAATGTCTGTATGGAGGTGTATGTGCATGTAATCCCTACACTGCTTGGATTCTTGAGTCAGATGTCACATTATTTACATCATCTTCTCTTTCCATTTCCATGTCCAGTAGATGTCATTATTAAAAGTAAAGAAACCAATACTAATAAGATTAACATGTATTTCACATGGCCCTAATACTCTTTTAAACTACACTATTCTCCTTGAGATTCTTTGAAGGGCACTGTCACCATGCTCTGTCACTTTAGCCAGTTATGGTTTCCCAGGTGGAAGCCTGGGTTTAGTTGTGCCCAGGGCTTTGCAGTGCCTAGACTATCTATTTGTTCAGCTTCCTACAGTTCAGAAGCGTCCTCCACTTGACAGCTTGCGATTCCAACTCTCCTAACCTTTACCACAACCAGCAGAGAGCATGTTTCTTTGTGCAGTGCTAAATTACAGTTCCAGTTTTCTTCCTTTCTTGTTACTTTTGGTTCCTGGTGGCCAACTTAAGTCAAAATGATGTGCCGGAGACTGGAATCTGAGCAAGCAGACAGTTCTTTCCATGGGGTCAAAAAGTGGACAGAACAGAGAGGAGTGAGTAGATTAAAGCAAAGATTCATACTTCTGTATCTCATCTTTCTTACACAGAATTTTTTTAGTATCTCAATGTAGAATAATGCCCTTTTTTAAAAACGTTGATTGTAAGTGAGCACAATGTAAATTTAGTGCCAATAAACACATACAAAAACACACTAGCAGGGAGGGATATGATAAAACATCTGTCACCATAGATCTTCAGGAACAAGGATGATATAGAAGAATCTTTCTAGGTTTGTTTGGAGGCAATTCTGTGTCATACTATGTCCGTCCTGGTTGTGTGTCTTACACAGCTGGAGAGTCAGGCTTAGTTAGTTTGAGATATTTTTAGGGTACCAACCTCTGGGATGATCTGATTGCCCTGGAACCTTATTCACCTGATACAATTTTTATCAGTAACTTGAATGATGTAACAGAGCAGATAGGTACCAATATTGATGTATGACTGCCAACCTCGGCTTTGTCAGCAGTATTATTACGTGTCTCTTGTCATGCTGCTCTCTCACTCCCGGCAAGGGTCATACAAACCTCTCTACTCTCCCCTGACTTCTAACCCTGCCCTACATTCTCCTTCCCAACTCTTAAGAGATGACCTCAATCCCTACCTCCCAAAGAGAACAGGATCCATCAGAAGGGAAGTTTTGACAACTTCCTGCTCCCAAGCCTTTAAGCGTACCTGGGTTTGCACCCATCTCCTTTTTCTCCTTCCTGTGCAATAGTGGTCCTCCTCCTACCTAGGGCAAATCTCGCCATCTGGACTCTGGAGCCTCCCATCCAATCTTCTCCAACTTGTATCTCAGTGTTTCTCAAAGTGTGGTTCCAGCAGCATCAGCATTCTCTGAGAACTTGCTAGAAATGCAAATTACCAGCCACATCCCAGACACCTATATCAGACATTCTAGAAGTGCAGCCCCAGCAATCTGTGTTTTAACAAGCCTTCTAGGTGATTCCAATGCACACTCCTACTCTAACATAGATGAATGATGGATCCTTCTCATTAGCAGTTAAACCTACTCACGTCTTAAAATAACATCTTAAAATAATACAACTCCTTCATCTCCACTTCAGCCTCCTGAAAATACCTATCTCTCTCATCCCCTGCATAGACAGACTTCTCAAAAGAATTGTCTCCCCACCTTCACCTTGCTTTCGTTCCCCAGAGCAGTCTCTTCTTGGCTTCTATGAAGATGTATGCCTGACCTCCATTTCCACAAACCATTCATTCACTCTTTTCCACAAATATGTATTGAACACCTGCTATGTACCAAGCACTCAGCTGGGTGCTGTGATTATAACCACAAATGTGAAAGATGAAAGTCATGGTGCCTGCCCTAATGAAGTTCACATTCAAGTGAATGCTGCTGAAGGGCCTGATTTGACAAGGTCTGAAACTAAGTGTTTGCTGGATCTGGCAACATGGAGGTCATTGATGGCCTTGACAAGATATACTCTAGTTACAGATTGAGTGGGTTAAAGAGTAAATGGAAAAACAGAAGAGAAAGGAAGGAACACTTCCCAATTCATTTTATGAGGCCAGTATTACCATGGTACTGAAACTAAAGACATCACAAGAAAAGAAAACTACAGACTAATATCTCTTATGAATATACATGCAAAAATCCTCAACAAAATACTAGCAAACAGAATCCAACAACATATAAAAAGAATTGTACACCATGACCAACTGGAACTTATCCCAAGAATGTAAGACTGGTTGAAAATCTGAAAATCAATTAATGTAATACCTATATAAATAGGAGAAAGGACACACAATTATCTCAATAGGTGCAGAAAAAACATTTGACAAAACGTTACATCCCTTCATGAAAAAAACAAAACTAAACTTAAACTAGAAGAGAATGTCCTCAACCTGATAAAGGGCATCTCTGAAAAACCCACAGCCAGCATACTTAATGGTAGAAGACTAGATGCTTTCCCATAAGATCAGGAATAAGACAGACTATCCACTCTCAACACCTCTATTCAACACTGTACTGGATGTTCTAGCCTGGGCAAGTAGGCAAGAAAATTTAAGTCATCCAGATTGGAAAGGGGGTTGTAAAACTATCTCTATTTGCAGATGACATGATCCTGTATGCATAAAATTTTAAGTAATCCACTAAAAAACCTACTACAACAAATTGACTCATTCACAGGATACAAGATCAATATATAAAAATCAATTGTACTTCAATACTGTAGCAATGAACAATCCAGAAATTAAATTAAGAAAACAAATCCAAAAAGAGATGGAGAGAAAACAAATCCATTTATTGTAACATCCAAAAGGATAAAATCCTTAGGAAAAATTTAACGAAAGACATGAAAAACTTCTCTCTAAAAACTACAAAATATTGTTGAAAGAAATTAAAGAAAATTAAATAAATGGAAAGACATTCCATGTTCATGTAATCAGAGGACTTAATATTGCTAAGATGG